GAATCATTTTATTAGAGAAATCAATGATGATCGCGCGCCCGACTCGAGAGCGCAAGCGTGATTCGTAAGTTTAAGATAGATCACTCACTGCCACGGAACGGTAGGTTAAAGCGACTTAGTAGCTGCGACGAATTATCGAGAAGGCTGCCGATCCACCAGCTTCCTCTTCTATCCGTCCGCTTTTCGTCGCTTCGTCCGTTGCTCGATCGTCGTCGCCTCTCTTCCTCTCTCGCGCGTTTCGCACCTCGAATCCGCGCGTCTACCTATCCTGTCGTTATTCTCGTTACCTTTCGCTGTATCGTCCGCGTACTCTTCTTCCCCGAGTATCTCGCATTCTGTCGGATCGATTACGCACCGCGAAAGGGAACCCCGTGTATAGATCGATTCGTCGAAAAGTAGCAAAACGCATCGGACGAGAAGAACCTCTCTCTTATAGAAATATAATACCCGTGCGCACATTTTTCTCTCTTTTTTTCTTTCTTTCCTTTTTTTCCTTTTTTTCCTTTTTTCCCTTTTTTCTTTTTTTCTTTTTTTTCTTTTTCGAAGGGGGACGAGAAAGAGGAAAAAGAACTCGCGATCCCGTCGATCGTACAATGAAAATTCTTTGAAAGGTTTTACATTGACGCTTAGGCTGACGATGGAACGACGAGTCGTGCGCGTTTCCTTAAAGACACCCTTTTCCTAAACGGATCAGGCATGTCGAGAGCATCCGTGTTCGCCGCCTATCGATCTATCGACGACATTTACGAACGAGATATCAATTGTAAATATGGCTGTGATGCCTCTTTTTGTGATTCTCTATGCACCACTTGTGCGGACTTTTATAAGGGCACGCATCGCACGCGAATTTCGGCTTGGCATTCACGCATTCGAACTTTCGATGTCTCCAGAGCGACCTGTGCACCGCGTACGCCTTGCCGCAGTCCACGCAAACGAAACTCCTTTCTCGAATGTCCGAATTGCCACCTTGACGAAGTTGTTGTTGTTGTTGTTGTTGTTGCTGCTGCTGCTGTTGTTGCTGTTGTTGCTGTTGCAGTTGTTGTTGCCAATCGTTCCTTCGAGCTAGCCGATTTTCTGACTCGAACGCGTAGATGGTCTTGTAAGGCCACAACAACGCTGAAACAACAACAGCAGACTGGTTAATGCGATCGATCGACCACGAACGCCACGAAACGATACGTAACCATTTTTCATCATCCAACACATACATAACGCGATTAACAAATTCTTTTTTCCGTCCACTCGTCATCGCTGGCATTCGAGAAATTTCCTTTCTCATTGTCCAGAGACGATTCCGGTACGCGAACCAGCCCGAAGCTATCTCCTTCGCGATACTTTCATCGCGTTGCGTTTCCCATTTTCCCTGTGGTTTTCGCTTATCGTGTCAGGGAGAAACCGCGAAAAACAAAACGGACATAGTTGTTGCGATCGATACCGTTGTTTCGAGAGAGAGAGAGAGAGAGAGAGAGAGAGAGAGAGAGAGAGAACGCGCGGTATGGCGATAAAACCTATGGAATGGTTTATTTCACCCTCCAACGAGTTACAAACAACCTGAGCATTTCTTATTTATTTCGACAAACCACGCTTACAATATCGGCCATCATCGATGAACGTATGTCGGAGGATGCTTGCTGTAAAATATTTCTAATATTAATACAAATTAACTTAGACGAGGATACAATCTACCGAAAGCCTAATACGCGCGTTATTCGAAATCCGTACTTTGATTTTCTTTCTCGACAGCGAACGTGTATTTTGACGGGTACGAGAATCGAAACGTTGGACAAAAATACGAGGGTTTAACGCTCTCTAATTGCGTGCACTTTGTCGTATCAATTCGCTTTTTCGTCTACGCGACGACGACGACGACGACGACGACGGCTGCGACGAGAACGGTAATCGCCCGACTGTATAAACGATGAAATAAAAGGATAATTACCTGCGAAAGAAGCGCTTCGAGTATAATACTGATTCTTGAAAAGAAAAAAAGAAAAAAAGAAAAAAATCACGAAAAACTCTGCGAAAGATACGCGTACGATTCTATCGATACGATTCGTTACGATTACAAATACCGTCGCTTATGAATAATAACGCGTTACGCGTGTTATCACCGATACGAAGATGTTGCGACATGCTGCACCATCGCTGTGAATTTTATTTTCTCCCGATATAGCATGATCTACGATTGCCATCTACGTTGCTTCTTTAAACTCGGATGGAAAGTAGCCGCGAACGAGTGATCGACTATTGCTTCGTTTCGTTCGAGTCAGCCGTACGATGAAAAGTCTTCATGTGCCTTCTCACACAAAACGAATAATTGCTACGAAAATTGCAGAGATCGCAACGAAATTTCAATACGCCGGTGTCATGAACGTTCCGCACGTGTCTCTCCATGTTCGCCTTATAGGTGCTCTTGTACGGGCAAAACGAGCAAGCGAACTGTGAGTTTCTAGGATTCATCTTGCAACCGAATTGCACGTGCCTCCTCAGCAAGTTCTTCAACGGAAAGACTTTCTTGCAGAAACCGCACATGTGCCGCTTGTGATAGTTCAACATGGACTGTGCCGCGGCGGAAATCTTCAATTTATCGAATTCCGGGTGAAGTTGCAGCCCATCGACGGAACCGTAGCCAGCCACGTAACCTTGTACGTTCCATACTCCTGAAACAAAGCAAAAAGAACGCCGATGAAGCACGAGTTCGCGAATAATCCTCGAGGCGTGGTTGTTCTCTTCGGATCGAACCAGAAAACTCGTACGCGTGTCGGTGTATCGAAATTTCGATCGACTGGCAATGCTCGACGAGAGCTGCCTTCGATCCGCTGCCAACGAAGAATCATACGCCGTCGTTCCTTCCGTTGCGTAATGCCAAGCTTTACGTGAAAAAACGGTCAAAACTCGGCGTACTCTGGCCGTACAGCTACGTATTACGAGAGACAGCAAGACCACGAACACCGCCGTAACGTTTAATCTCGCGACAAACTGTCGCAGCGACGAGATTGCAAAGAGAAACACGCTAAAGCATATAGTATCGTGTTACGTGTACATGTTTATTAAATAATTTGAAAATAATGGATTTATTAAACACTTTAAAAGGAGAGCGAGAGAAAGCGAGATCAAGCAAGGCAGAGATGGATGGATAGATAGATAGATAGATAGATAGATAGATAGATAGACAGATAGACAGATAGATAGACGGATAGGTAAACAGATAGATAGAAAGCTAGACTGATAGACAAATAGATAGAAAGACAGATAGGTAGAAGATAGATAGATAGATAGATAGATAGATAGATGGATAGATAGATGGATAGATAGATGGATGGATGAATAGATAGATATATGGATGGATGGATGGATAGATAGATAGATGGATGGATGGATGGATAGATAGATGGATGGATGGATGGATAGATAGATGGATGGATGGATGAATGGATGAATGGATGGATGGATGAATGGATGAATGGATGGATGGATAGATAGATGGATGGATGGATGGATAGATAGGTAGATAGATATAGATAGATAGATAGATAGATAGATAGATAGATAGATAGATAGATAAATGGATGGTTAGATAGATAGATAGATGGATGGATAAATAAATAGATAGATAGATAGATAGATAGGTAAGTAGATATATATATATATATATATAGAGAGAGAGAGAGAGAGAGAAAGGGGGTGGAGGTGAAAGAACATCGCGAAAGTAACAGTTTCCTATCGATTTACCATCGTCGACGCAATCACTCGAGATTAAACGATCTTACGATCGTTGGAATCCACAAACGTAAATTTCGTGGATAATTCTGAAGGTTGGTTTTCGCGTGAGTATAGTCCTTTGGTTTGGAAGCGCGCGATCTATCATCGGAGGAGCGACGGAAAAAAAGAACGGACGGAGCGAGGGTTACGCTAAGCCGGAAGTCGCGAATGCACGTGTCTCATGTGCCTGAAGAGTATGTCCTTTCTGCTGGTCCTGTAGTCGCACAATTTGCAGCAAAACATAGGTGGTAATCCGCAACCGGTGCTCAAGTGACGCTGGAGACTCGCCTTCCAGGTGTAACCTTTGCCGCACTTCGGACAGACAAAGACAGGCTTGCCGGATTGATCCGGCGTCAGCGAGTCGTCCAACTGTTGGCCCGACAAGCCGCTCCCTAAAAATCAAAAGCGTTCGCGTTAGAGAAAATATTCGCCTCAGATTTTCCCGTCCAATCCGATGGTGAACATCGAGACTCGCGTCACTCGGAAAATCTATCGAAGCGCGGAGAAACGAGAGACAGAGAGAAAGATGGAGAAGTAGGTAGATAAGTAGGTAGGTAGGTAGGTAGGTAGGTAGAGAGAGAGGGAGAGATCGATGGCGGCGAACAAGAACAAGAACAAGAACAAGAACAAGAACAAGAACAAGAGCAACAACGATGAGGTCCACTGGCGCTGTTTGTAGCGCTAGGGAAGAACGTTAGGAGATACGGTTGAGAAAATTCCGTAGCCCCGCACGTGAAAATACGACAATTTTTGTGAACGATACGTTTATTGCATCTCACATCAGCGTCAACAACAACTACAACTTACTGGTAAAACGCACAAGATTCGACGAACCTGCGACGCACACACGGCTGACGACTGTCTCGTTTCGGCGAATCATACGGATCCGCGTTGGATCATCATGGTTGGACGCGGTAGGGGGCGAAGGGGACCAAGGGGCCGAACCGGTTGCGATCACCGGAAACCGTGATCGAGACAACCCGCTATTGATCGGA